GTAGTGAACTTTTAGTTGTATAATAAAAGATAGATTTTATATGGGATCAACCAAAAAATTATTGATGTGAATCTTTGGCCTCCTAGGAGGTTAGGAGTTCAAATCTCACCAAAGGGTGAGGAGGGTGTGTGAGTTTATTTGTTATATTTGCTGCATATAAATATTATATTCTTCAAAAAAAAAATACTGAAAACGCTCACTCTTGTTCATTAAATGATTGGTATCTCCTCAATCACTCGTTTTTCAGATCACCGGAGGACTTTTATTGCTTTATGAATGACGAATTAAAACCATTTTTCTCTTCTCAACACTGAATATAAGGGTTCCAAATCGTGGTTGAACCACCCAATTAACTTTCAAACTTTTAGAGATTGGTAGCTTAGTCCCCCTCCACTCTCCTTCTTCCATTTATGGCTGGAACGAAGTTCAATGTGATCAAGCACAAAGCTAAAATAAAATGAATGAATTTAAGATGGAGAGAGGGTTGCTTGGTTCCGAAGGAAAAAAAAGAATTTTTGTTAGCAAGTGATAATAAGATATACAACGATAAGTAAATATCAAGAAAACGATAACAACAGTTCATGTCGCAAAATGGAAATAGACGGTTGGATCATTTGAAACCATACAAAATATTATAAAAAAATTTATTTCAAGACGAAAAATGTTTTTGTAAATCTATTCCAGATTCGTAATAATACGCGGTGCAACAGAAAAGTGATGTGATATATACATATCATTTTATATTATATGATTTTTTGAAATTTATTTAGATAATATTTATTATCATTTTTTTATTATTTTTTATTAGCATTTTTTACTACTATACAATCACGTAATATTGCATTTTTAACAATTGAGCATATTCTTATTTGATTTAGATTTCAACCTTACTTATCTTGGTGTGTGAATAGTGATGGCCAAACCGGCCCGGGACCAGTAAGGACCGGTTATAGGACCGAAATCTGGGACAGGTTATGGATTTAGGGTGTTTTGCGGGACAGGGACCGATTATGAGACTGGTTATGGGACCGGTCCGGCCTGATTTTCAAAAAATGTAACTATTTTTTTAAAAATGTAGCCGTTTTTTGGCCCCTTTTTTTTGTATCTTTTTGCTTTCTAAACACTATATATAAGTGTCTTGGTTGAGAGATTTTCATACCAAGTTCTTGATTTGTAAAAACGCAAAAAAAAAAACGTTCATAATTATCGATTTATCGTTATATTTTGTAAGACAATGTAATTTTAATTATAATAAAATGCATTTTTAAAGTGTATTTGAGTGACTCAATTACAAATGTTATAATATAAAAAAATAAAAAATAAAAAATAAAAATAAATTTTAATGACCGGGACCGATGGTCCATAACCGGTTACAATAAAGCATGACCGGACTCAACTTTTTCGAGCGGGACCGGGACCGGTTACGTCAGGACTGGTTGTGGCCGGTTATGAGAAATCTTGAGACTGGTTGTGGCCGGTTATGAGAAATCTTGAGACCGGTTTTTAGCCATCACTATGTGTGAATAATTATTGGGACTTGCCTTCATATATGATAGATTTCATAAAGAATAACCAACAAGATATTTGAAGGTACAATTAATTATTATAAAAGGTTCAGATCTCATAATACTTTTTTCATCATAATTTTCTTTCTCACATGAATTTTCGTCTAATAAATAATAGATAGATGTTTTCAAAGATATTACATATTATCATCCATGTATGCATACATTGCATAAAATCATAAAATTAAAATAAACATGGTAAAGAAAAATATATTGATATGGAATCAAACTAAAAATAATAAACTAATTTTGTTTAATTAATATATTAAAAGGCATCTTAGATTTAAAAATATGGAGTAATCTATATTTGAATTGGTTTATTAATTTGTCTCGTGGACTCCGAACGTAAAGTTTTAGAAGTTGTATGTATACACTATTGTTTGCAAACTCGAAATTTTAAAGATAAGAATGAGTGTTTTACCCGATAAATGGTTAAGCGCTTAATGGGTTATAAACGTTTACCGTTAATCCTTTTCGATGGCAAAAAAATGTTGTCACATAACATAAGTGAGATCAGTGACTTTTGTCAGTAAGCGTTTGATAAACGATCCCTAAATACCATATTAGTCAAATATCCAAATTAAGGTGTAGGTAGCCAACAAACTTCCTACAATGATAAAAGAGACCTTGGAGATATAGATATATAACGCAAGGATCAAAACATATATAAGGATGTTTAATTCCTTAATAGTTTATTTATTGGATGGTACATTATGACATTGTATATGATCAAATGACGATGAGTTGGAATGCTGAAGGCACTAAATTGGAAACGCTGAGGAGGCCTCGAACAGTGGTGTTAACGAACTGTAGTGGGGATTGCAGAATTCCTGTTGAAGGCAGTGTTGTGTTGCAACTGGAGAGTGGTGTAACAACACGTACACTGCAATTCGGCGACAGAAGGTTGCTCAGAGGAAATTGAAGCGGATTTAGAGTTATACCAAACATTCCCGATCCATTGGTTATGGCCGAGGATATCACATTTCCACCACATGATACATCAACCAAAGCATATGTACGTTATATATATATACACACATCAATTAATTAGTAAAGTAAGTAAGCTAAATTATATATGAACTTTTGATGGAAGGAGTAGAATTATAGTACTTGGGAATGGAGGGGTTGGGGTGGTGGCATTAACAATGACGCTACCATTAAGAGAGCATGATACTGATCCAGAGATATTGATGAGATTTTGGAGTCCTGGAAGTTGAGCATCGGCTAACTGTAATGCCAATGCAACCATGACAAAAATCGCAACACATTTCAAACTTGCCATGACTATATAGATTGATATATCAAGATTTGCTAGGTGCCTGCTTCTATTGAATATGCATGTAACACCTATTTATAAGGAGGGAATTAATTAAGATTTGTTTTGTGAATCAAACTCATCGTCAAAGTCGTTGCAACTTGGTGTATAAACGCATGCTTAACACTTTGTTGTGGGGTTTATGCATTGCTTTTTGTCAAACATAAATACACCTCTTAAAACTGAAAAGAAGTTATTCACGCTTAAAACTTTGTTGTGGGGTCTATGCATTGTTTTTTGTCAAACATAAGTACACCTCCTAAAACTGGAGAGGAAAAAAAACACAATATTTATATTTTAATCTTTTGGAAGATTTGGTTGGATATTAGTATAGGTTAAAATTTTGATTCATTCAGCCGAGGACGTGTACAAGAAGGTTTTTGCCGATTTCTATCGACATGGTGCACCTCAGACTCAGAGGGACGTGAAGTTTGATTTGTATGTGTGTGTATATTGAATGTTAGTTTCCATCCAATACATATGTAAGAAACCCTTTTTGTATGTGTGGATCAAAGCAACCAAAAATAAAAGGTGGGTTATTTTTTTCATTTTGAAAATCAAATATGACATGTACAAGTTGAAAGCCAAAAGGTGGGTTGTGGGGATCACCCTACTGAACCCTATATGTCAACAAAATTTAAATCATATCAAATTAAAATTTAATTAATCCTCATCCAAAAACAACATCAAAGTATTTTTTAATGGGATTTTTATTGTAAAAAATGAACAAAACTAAGGTGGTAATTATTTTTTAAAAGTACCCAAGTTTAAATTTTAAATCAAGAAAGATGTGTTGTTTTTGTAAATTGATATTTTATAATTATACAAATATTGAATTGTCATTTTATAATTACATAAATTCTCTTATCCGAATTTAAATGCTCTAATAATATCTTAATTAAGTAAAAACATAATATCATATCTTAACTAAAACTAAAACTAGATTAATTAATTATACTTCTGATCAAATAAATAAACCAACTAATTAGTACGCTTTGGGCTTCCTCACGGCCTACAAAGCTTGGTCCAGTTAGCACCCAACCTCCAAGTCCAACCATGGCTTTAGCCCAATATGAGCAGACCAAGACTTAGGCCACGAGTTAGACCCAGTCCATCCATGACCCCCTAACCATCGCAACTCAAGCTTCCCGATGTCTAACCCTAGTCCCCCCCCCAACCGGCCTAAGACCTCACTTCTTAAAATAAACCATTAATACAAATTATTTATAAGTAATTGCATAAAACCAAAGTCACCACCCGTTGACGTTTTTTGCCAAACTGGTGGCCATCGAAGACACCATTAAAGGTCATCATCAACATCACCATAAACCGTAGTGAATTTTTAGTTGTATAATAAAAGATAGATTTTATATGGGATCAACAAAAAAATTATTGATGTGAGTCTTTGGCCTTCTAGGAGGTCAAGGGTTCAATTTTCATCAAAAATGAGGAGAGTGTGTGAGTTTATTTGTTCTATTTTGTTGTATATAAATATTATACTCTTCAAAAAAAATAGTGAAAACGCTCACTCTTGTTCATTAAATGATTGGTATCTTCTCAATCACTCGTTTTTCAGATCACCATAGGACTTTTATTGCTTTATGAATGATGAATTAAAACCATTTTTCTCTGCTCAACATTGAATATATGGGTTCCAGATCGTGGTTTAACCACCCAATTAACTTTCAAACTTTTATGGTAGATTAGTCCCCTTCCACTCTCCTTCTTCCATTTATGGATGGAACGAATTTCAACATGATCAGGCCCAAAGCTAAAATAAGATGAATGAATTTAAGATGGAGAGAGGGTTGCTTGGTTCCGAAGGAAAAAAGGAAGTTTTATTAGCAAGTGATAATAAGATATACAACGATAAGTAAATATCAAGAAAACGATAACAATAGTTAATGTCGAAAAATGGAAATAGACGAGTATCATTTGAAACTATTATTTCAAGACGAAAAATGTTTTTTTTTTGAAGTATATAATATTTATATACGGCAAATGCAACAAATAAACTTACACCCCCTCCTCACCTATGATGAGGTTTGAACGCTTGACCTCCTAGAAGGCCAAGGGCTACGATACCACTAGGCCAAAGGCCCTTTGGTACGAAAAATGTTTTTGTAAATCTATTCCAGATTCGTAATAATACACGATGCAACAGAGAAGTGATGTGATATATACATATCCTTTTATATTATATGATTTTTTGAAATTTATTTAGATAATATTTATTATTATTTTTCTAATATATTTTTATTACCATTTTGAACCTCTATACAATCACAAAATATTGTATTTGTAAGTTGTAACAATAGATCATATATTCCTATTTGGTTTAGATTTGGGCCCAAATTCGTTTGGGCGAACCTTACTTATCTAGTTATCTTGTTGTATGAATAATTGTTGGGACTTGCCTTCATAGTTCATATGGGATAGATTTCAGAAAGAATAACCAACAAGATATTTAAAGATACAATTGAATGATGTTTCATCCTCATAGTAATCACCTGAACATAAGGAAGAGGTCGTGTGTTGTACATTTCATCAAACACATGAAGGGCATGATCAAGATATTCATGTACAACTACGATTATTGAACAAATTTATAAGAGAAAGGGAACAACTAGAAATAAACAAGAAGGAAATGGAGAATTTAGGAGGGTTAAGAAGGAGGTACTTACGTACCTTAATTCGGTTTAATAATGGAGGAGATATCTTCCTGTGATTCAAAGGCAAATTGTAGGCGAAGGAATCCATTAACTGGCGTGAGAAAATTATGCACTAAATCATAGAAGTTTTTCATGGCATATAAACTTTAAGAGCTTCGTTGATGTTATTCATGGCATGCATCATGAGAAATTTTACTTTGCATATAAAGCTATACGCTTCTCAAGTTGATTCATGATTTTCTGCATTCCGAACTTTATATTTCACACCAAGACATCTAACACATCTCAATCTTGAAATTCACATTTGAATATAATTTGATCATGATTTGGTTACTTGTCAGATAGAGGAAACAAATTTAAAACGTTAGCTAATAACTAAGAATGACTTGGGTGTTTGTCAATCACTAAAAACATGGGTTTTATATCAAAGAAACCGACTAACAAACTTTATAAGCTTCTTTACGCTATGATCAGTTTTTCACACAAAAGCGATGCTTATGCACACAAGCAAAACTTTGATAAGGCAAGAAGATTCAGAGTCGATGGTCTCTAAGACCAGGCTACGATAGAAACTAACAAAGGAATCTGTAGATTTTTGAATGTAATCCACCTACATAATTAGACCTTAACCAACGTTTTCCATTACCGATAATAGCCTTTTCGGCGATGAACAACATATATGTTGTAGCTATATATGGTGAGAATTGCGTAGATGAAGAGAGAAAAATAAGTGGAATATCCATTATCAATAATTATTTTGCTTTCTTATGTATAATGCTATTTTGCTTTTAGATTTAATACACAAGTTTATATAAATGGAAACGACTAGATTCTTGAAATGTTTTTTTAATAGATAATCACTTCATATAACTTGCGTTTCAAGACATTTTCTTCCACTTTTATCCTATGTACTATTGACTAATGAACCCCAACATGTTCTTTTAACTCCATCGATTCTCGTTACACCCTTTCATAATTATGTTTAGATCAGTTTAGACGATTAAGCACAAACCATCAAAAGACAAAAGACAGTATGGTCTGACCGAATTTTAACGTTAGTTTTTTTTGGCTTGTGAGATAAAATTATACATATAAATAAATAAAAAGTGGCAAACTACATATATCATTGGTCATACTCATAGTTATAAAAATTATATGTTAATTGTTATCGTTGTCCAAACGAAAAAACTATATGTGGTTCTCGGATTAGGTGTTTTATCTTGTTGGCTTGCTGTAAAACAGATAAATGTCTCTCTAGTTCCATTTTTTCAAATTAAATTGGGCTATCAAACTAAAAAAAACGATCCAGTTTGATTTAATTGGGTTTGAAGTTTCTTTAAGCACCCTTATTGCCATTTAGGTCATAAAAAATCATTTATAGATGAAAATTACTCCACAATCACCATTGTCACATATTTTACTTTGATTTTGTTACAGTTTAATTTAGATATCGATGTTTTGTATGCTATCCTAATTTCACGAGTAGGATTTCAATTTTCTTTTGTTGATACTCATCAATCTTACAAAAAAGTAAAGCTAATTAATCTGGTTTGACGACTTAGGTTCTATTTTTCTTTTTTCATTAGTGGAAAATAGCATATTGTTGATCAGGTACATAGAGAGACACACACACATATACATCGTTGTATACTGATTTTTATTTGTTTTAAAATAACTTTTGTATACTCATACAATGTAGTAAGAATTAAAATTTTAATTCATATTCTACCCTCAAGATATTTTTTTGTTAGTCCACCTATATGGGACACGATTTCGGCCAAAAATTTACACAAAAGCTTTTACTGCATTAGTCATCTTTAATGTTTCATTTTATTTTGTCTTTATCAATGTTATAATACGATTTTATGTGTTCTTGAGAAAACAATAATTTTTTATTTTTGAATAAAATATAAATGTGAAGGTATCATAAAAATTTGAAAAAAATATCGATATTAGTATCAAATTAATTACTTAAAAGTTTTCATTTTCTTAATAATTTTCTTAATTTAATTTTTTATTATAATTTAATTTAAGTCTAATAACGAATTAATTTATTTTATATTTAATAATACAATTTTTTGATAAAAATAGTAATTAAGTACTTTATTAGAACTCAATGATTATCTTAATTATATGTTAGATTTTCTATATTTAAAATAGATGTTTATCCTGTATTTGATTATGTTTATCAGCAGAGTTACACAAATTTAAAAATAAAGCTTTAATAAGGTGTACTTACGCAAAATTACAAGTAATCTTAAATTTTAAGTAATATGCATCAATAAACAGTACTTTATGCATAAAAATGGTTTTTAAGAGTTTTTGTCAAATACTTTATAATATAGTATAGATAGTATAAATACTACATATATTCATTGACAAGTACATTGCACAAAAGTAAAATAAACTTGATAAAAAAAATTGAAAAAAATATCGGTACGATATCAATTTAGGGGTTGTTTGTTTACCTCTTAATAGTTCCATTGAGAGATGAATCTTATTTGGCAAAAAAAAAGTTTGCCTTTTAATGGCTTAAAACTCTTTGAATGATTTTGTATCATGGATCTCCCTTAACCATTAAAAACCCTAATTTCATTGTACATCAATTATCAAACAATTATATTTCATTTTGCATTATATCATGAAAGTCTTTTTAATCATTCTGACCACTTAATCAATTTGTACCAAATCATTCAGTAATTGCCAAATAACCCTTTAATGTATCTTCTATTATCTCTAAATTATTTTAATGTTCAAAAATATGATATTAAATGTCTATTATAATATATCAAATAACACAGATAATTGTTTTTTAATAGATCTTCTATTATCTCTAAATATATTTCAAATTTAAAAAAAATAGAAGATGATGATAATGAAAGGATAATGCATGTCATCTTTCGTTAGATTATTGTTATGTGATTCTTTTTCTTTTAGTAATTATTTTCTTATTTAACACTTTTGGTTAGTGATTTCATTTGATATATGTGTCAGGCTTTTAATTTTTGTAAAAATCGATGGTTTCCAAAAAGCTATTTTGATGATTTAATTTGGACTAGTAATGTTAGAATGGTAAGAAGTTGGTACTAAATATGCAACATAAATGATAGTATAGGGATCAATTATGTAATTATCTTAGAATTTAGATATGGATTGACCCTATGGTAACCAACTAGGTCAATCGTACTTGTCAACCGGGAACTAGGTCACACTACTCAAAGTCCATCTCCGCCCCGACTCTCCAAACCCTCCCTTTTTGATTGATGATTGACCCACCAGCATCTCTCAATTCTCCTGCATTTGAAACCCTAGAAATCAAGTCCTTTATCCTTCACTTTCGCTTCGTCAAACCCTACAACAGTAATTAAAAAAAGGGTTTTTCTTCTTTCGTCTAGAAATGCCAATTTCACAGCAAATACGCAAAACCCTGTGGATTCTCTTGAAACCCCAGGAAACCAAAAGATGGGTTTTTACGTTTTCGACGATTGTTTCTTCTTATGGGTGCTAGTCTAGGGTTTTTTCAAGATGAACATATTTAGGGCAAATCAAGAATCTATGTGAAAATTCCAATCTTTTTTTTTTTTTTACCACCAAACCCCCCCAATTGGTTTCTCCTGAAACCCAGGATTTGTTTTTTGTTTAGATTTTGTCTGGTTTATTAAGGTTGATCTGGTTTAGTTTAGGGCAAAAATATATGGAGGGTTGTGATCAAAGCAAGGTGTTTGTGGGTGGGATATCATGGGAGACAACAGAGGATGTGTTGAAAGAACACTTCGGCAAGTACGGAAAAGTGGTGGGTGCTGTGATTGCTAAAGATAGAAGCACTGGTAGCTCTCGTGGGTTTGCTTTTGTTTCCTTCTCTGAAGCATCTGATCTGAATAAAGTTCTTCTTGGTACCCATACTATTCTCGGGAGAACGGTTTGTTTTCTTGAATCACACACTTATTCCTGCTATTTTACTCTTTTCTTTTAGTTGTAAAAGAAAATTACTGCCTTTTGAATTGTCTTTATTAACAGTTGTTGAATTTGAAAGCATGTTGTAATGTTTCATATTGCATTGTTGAGGATGATGTGTCCGGACTCTGATAATTTCATTTATTTTTTTGCATGATTTAATTTTCTGATAAATTCTTGATGATTTTAAATAGGTAGAAGTGAAAAAGGCAGTTCCAAGAAGTGAACAGAACCAGAATCAGAATCAGAACCAGCAAGAACAGAGTAGGGGATTGAATAGAAACAGTAGAACTAATGGTATTAGTAGTAGCAGTAACTTAAAGATTAAGAAGATTTTTGTAGGGGGATTGCCGGCTAACTTAACTGAAGATGAATTCAAGGTCTACTTTGAAAAGTTTGGTAGAATTACTGATGTTGTTGTGATGCATGATAATGTAACCCGCAGACCAAGGGGTTTTGGCTTTATCACTTTCGATTCCGAGGATTCTGTTGAAGAAGTTATGCAAAAAAGTTTTCATGAATTGAGTGGCAAGCTCGTGGAGGTTAAAAGGGCTGTACCGAAAGAGGATAATGGTGTTTCTAGTGGCAATGGATTTAGCAATTACTCACCTCATAGACCTAGATACGATGTTCTTCCCAGTTATGGTGTTGTTTATGGTGGCTATCCTTATGGTGGTGGTGTATATGGTGGTGCTTATTATGGAGGGATTAATTATGGATTGGCTCCGGTTTCACCTAGAGTTCCATGGGGTCCACCCACGATGGTTAGCATCAGGGGAAACCCGTATCCTATGACTGTTTATCCTGCTTACATGAACAATGGACACGGGGTAATGGGTATGGCTGCCAATGGTTATAATGGGATCATGGGGTCTGCACCAAATGAAAAACCGAGTCAACTCAGTGGCGGCAACGAACAACTTGAAGCAGATGCAGGCTCTTCTCAGGTTGATAGATGAAATGTAGATATGTTATCCTTTGGGTTAATCTGGTGGGAAGACTAGCCAGCAGGACTAACAGGTTACTGGATTCTCATAATTTACCATTCTTGATGTTCAGTTATCGTTTCTTCAGGTGAATTTAACGTATTATAAAGATGGTTCTTGCGATGTATCATTTCTGGTTTCAATAATTCTTGGATTTGGTATTTGGATTTATGTAATTTCACTCATGTGTCAATGTCTATATGTCATTTGTGCAAGTCTTGATAGGTAATTTTCTTAATCTGTTAACTTTTTTCGGTCTGATTGGCATTGTTTGACAAATTCATGTAGATCACAGTGACATTTGTATTGTGCTGTAAGTAACATGCCTTCCATGGAGTTGATGTTCGACTTCTTGCATAAGATGCACCAGATTAATCCTTGTATCAAGCGTGATTAATTGATAGTATATGAGATTAAAGGTGATCACGGGTCCAAATCCATTGTTACGCTTTTCACCTTAACCATCTTTCTCATACAATTCTTTGGTGAAGAGCGGACATAAGTTGTTATAGCCTAAATCGTCACTAGACGCAAATGCGACCACATGCCACACAAACCCTTGTTGTGATGTTCGGCAAAAAAGTTACCTTGGCTGGTATATTAGATATACATGTTACTTTAGAACGAAAAGTATGTGTCTGTATATAAATATTGTTCGTATATATTGCTTTGTTATTTTTTATTTTTAAATTTAAAAACATACAAATTAAGAAAATAAAATAACCTAACAAAAAACTAAAATGAAAAATCCAAAACCAATTAAACGGTTAAACTAGACCGATTTGGATTTGGGTCGAGGTTTTGATCCAAGAGTTTTTTGGATTAAATCTTACTCTATGGGTGAAATTAGTAGCATGGTACTTGTCATATAATGGTATCGTTCCAATTAATTGTGAATTTGATTAGACTTAATTACCATTGTTATTGACCGACATTAATGATGATTTTAACCGGAATTTCTAGCACCTTAATACGGGTATTTTGATTAACTACTGCTAGTGTGACGTACCGGTTAATCTTAAGGAGATATAGAAGAAAATGTTATCTATTATGGGTTCGAATCTAGGCCCTCCAAAACCTTCATGGTCATTGAGGTTCACTTGCGATTACTTGAGATCATTCATAGTCATCCGAATAAGCTCATCTAGAAAACTCATGGTCACCCAAAAAAAGTATTTGTTTCAATGCAAACCTAAAATGGACAAAATATGTTCATAAAGATCGTATGGGTCCTAAAAATTACATTATTACCCCCCACAAAGGTAACCAAAAATTATGTTTTTGTCCCTATGATTTATTAAAAATTGTAAAATTAGTCCTCATGGTTTTAGAATTTTGGTTTTCATCCCTACATTTTATAATTCATTTTTATTTTACAAACCATATGAATTAAAAAAAAATTAAATTATAAGAACGAGAAAAAGATAATTAATTATAAAATATAGTGACAGAAAATTATAATTTTACAACTATAAATACGAAAATAGAATTTTTCAAGAGGAAAAAAACCGAGTCAAACCATTGAGCCCTGGAACAAGGTAATCCAAATACAGTTTTCACTTTTCACTGTCATTCTCGTTTTCTTCGTCCAAACCCCCCTTTCTCAATCTCTCTCAAAAACACCAATTCTCACTGCACAAATCAAAACAGGAATAAGAAGATTCGACTCCCTTCCTATTGGAATTTTGATTCTTCTATCGTTCATTCTTATTCAATCGTCTGAGTGTTCAACTTCAATTTCACTTGTTTCACTTTGATGAAAATTGGAAAAGTGCGAAGCCGTTTCATACAGATGAATGTCGTTTGTATGGAAATTTTTACTTCATTCCAAGAAATTGAAGTCAAATTCTGAAGGATCAGGCGATTTTGTTTATCCCCCATCGATCCATCCTTTGGTAAGCTCCGACAAGTCTGTCCGTGCAATCATCAATATCAATCGTGGATGATTACATTTGCAGGAAATCCGATTGAGGGTTTAAAAACTTGTTTTTATCACGAATCTTTTTCGATGCTGGTGTTTCTTAGGGTTCCTCATGTAACTACAAGTATTTCGAGGCAATTTCAAATTTTTTTCAGTTTGTAAAATAGTTGTATTATGTGTTCGTTTGTATGATCGTTTATGCGTTTTTTCATAAATGGTATCCCTTTTTCTATTGTTAGAAAATTTGAAGGTGATGAACTCATTGAAGTTAGTATTCAATTACTTCTATATTCTATAATTATTTTAATTGGAACTTTGACTACGAAATTTCCTCCCAAAATGCTACTTACAACATACAATATACGGTATCTAGGGTTATAGATAAAATAAATTGGAAGAGAATTCAAATGATGTCCATAGTAATGTTTGTTCTCAAATGTTAGAACGGCATTAAAGCTCTTTTACTTGTGTCGTATTTAGAATACTCTTTGACTAGTTTATATATAGCTGTGAGAGGGAAGTGAACACATTCTCTATATTTATGTTCAAGAGTCTTGCATTTCCTTCTTTGGGACCTCACAGATAAGAGATGAAACCTCTGCGAGCACTCTAATATACTTTTTGAAGTATCTCAATGTAGAGTGGAAGGATCATACGATGGATATAGCCAGATCCCCTTTTTGTTAGGTGATGTTTATTGGGAGAACTAATGGTTCTTGCTTAACTCAAATATCAGGGAAAACCCATTCCTTTTCTCTGTTCCTTTGCAGCTGTTCATCAAGTTTGTAACATAATTACATTCTTGTAGTAATTTCCCCATATAAGATAGGAGGACTACTCATAATAATTTCAAAAGTAAAAGAAGTGCCAACATGTGTATCGATGGAAATGAGATTTTATTGTGATTTGAGACACTCATGTTATTTCAATAACATCATGGTTTAATTTGTTGCTATATGTTCTTTTCATCTAGGAAATTGCACAAAGAATGTTTAATAATTGCTTATATAATGTGTGGGTGGATAATATCATAGGCACAAGCACTCATTTTCAATCCATTTTAAGGTTATGGTTGCAGAATTCCAACAATATGCATAATTATATGTTTCTACATTTGTCAACCTCCTCATATCCTTTTCATTATTTCAATAGGTAGAACTCTGACTCTGCATCTTTTGCCTAGCATGTCCAAAGCATGGATAAAGGATGAGGGTGTGTGGTAGGCCCTTGCAAACTAGTATTATGTTTAGCTATTTCCTATTTCACATGAAAAATGAAACCTAAAGAAATTTTGTTGTGGTTCAACTCCTTTGGCTTCCTGAGTATAGTGAGTATAAGTTGGCTGTGTTTGCATATTCTTATCGTGGGAGAGTGTTGGTCGTCACTTCTTAAGAACATGCTGCTTTAGAGTTCTTTGGAGGTGACTGTGAACGGGCTCCATCAACATGTTCATAAAAGGGAGCAAAGGTGAAATCGTCAATTCGTCATTCCCCTAGTGATGTGTCATATCGACATCTGAGTGGTGAGAAAAAGCAATGGTCTTGACACTTTAATGGGTCAGTATTGGGTCAAGGAGGCTGAATGAAGAGAGTTAACATGATTCAGTACTTGGGATAGTTCAGAAGTTGCTTGAACTAGTTGATGCCCTCAATGGAAAGAGTGTTCTTACATTTTTTCAAGAAACTAAGTAAAAAATCTAAGGGGATAAAGAGCATGGTTCATAAGTTGTGGCATTTAGGTACACAAGGTAGGTTTAGTAATAGATAAGTGGACATAGTTGGAACTAAAGAGAAGGATAAAATCTTATTAGCAAACATAATGGTGGGGGGGTGGTTATGAATGTAAATTAATGGATATACCCCTTTAATTGGACTTTAATGCATCTACAATAGTAGAATTTTTGGAGTACCTAGAAGAAATAGATAGGGATATCAATAATTGATGACTCTTATAATCTTCTTTCAGGCAAGAAAGCTATTAGTGGTCATGTAGTTGGAAGTAGTGGAGGTTTTGAAATGATCAAAATGTATTCTTTTTTGTTGTTGAAATTTTGCTATAGCTGATGATTTGATAATTGTAAACATTTCCCTTATGTTGTGTCACCCTCACCTAGTAACCTTGTCCAACCCGTTTATTGTTTGTACAATATATTGTTTATATACTAACCATTTAAGTTCTATCGGAAGATATTAATATCAGACTTATACTTTGAGTTTTTTTTATCTTGCTTCAGGAAGCTCTGCAATGCACCGTGTAGGTATTGCAGGCAGTGCCTCCAATTCAATCCGTCCTCGTAAGGAGAAGAGATTTACTTATGTATTGAATGATGCCGATGATACAAAGGTCACTGCTCATTCTGTTAGCTGATTGTCCCATGTTTACTTCTGTTTTGTATGCATGATTCCAATTGATAGATTACATGTTTTGTTCGTAAAACTTGGTGTAACTGTGTAAGCCAGATTTTTGTGGCTTGGGGCACATGTTAATTCCAAAAAGCTTTGTGTAAGACTACAAAGTTATAGTGTATAATTAAGGTGGCCTAGGTACCGTAGTTGTTAAAAAAGGCGCCCCTAGGCTTTGAGGCTCATAAGGCTCAAGGTCTTGGGATTTTTTCAAGTCGAGGCTCAGCGTATTCACGAGGCTCACTAAGGCACTGCGTCTTGGTTGAGGCGCCCTGTGGGCCTAGGTGCGCCTCATAAACAGTTACTAAATACCTAGTTAAACCTAAAATTAAATAAGTTTTCTCATCTTCTCATCTCCTAGATTTCTCTAAAGAAGTGTTATTAAATAGATGACATAAGTCAAACCCTAATACTAAATACTAAGGGGCTGTTTGTTTGGCTCTTAATGGTGACATTAAGAGCCAACCTCTTAATCGGTAAGAGGTAAGGACTGTTTGGCAAAAAAAATAAGCTTCTTAATGGTTACATTAACCTCTTAACCATTTTGTGTCTAGGGCCTCACTCAACCATTCAGATTGCATTTGTTCCATCTTTACCCTTCCACACCCCCTGTCTTCCAGCCATTTTGTGTCGCCTTTCACGAGAACTCGGCGCCTTCCACAGCCATCGCTGGTCACCTCCATCGTCTCCATCGCCGGTCACCTCCACAGCTTCGCCGGTTGTCGCCTGTCACCTCCACAGCTTCGCCGGTCGCTATCGCCGGTTACCCTTCCCACCCCTCTTTTCCAGCCGCTCTCTTCACGCATCTCTGCATCTCTGTATCTTCACCTCCACCATCTCTGCATCTCTCTATCTTCTCCTCCAACAGCATCCAAGGCACCATCCCAGCAAACATAAGTAGATGCCTCCAGCTTAGGGTTCTTGATTTCATGCAAAATCAAATTTCTGGTTCTATTCCTGAAGATCTCACTCTCCTTCTTGAAAGGCCTAGGTTTAATAAAATAGATTGTCTTCAAATATCCCAAATTCATTGGGTAATCTTGGAAACTTGACTAAAATTGATTTGTCAAACAATGAATTGGGAGGAAGCATACCCATCAGTTTTAGGAACTTCAGAAGGATAATTTTCATAGATTTGTCCATGAATAAGCTCAGTGGGTGTATACCCATAGAAGTTCTTAATCTCCCAAGTTTAACCACAATCCTTAATCTTTCCATCAATTCATTAACAGGCTCTTTGCCTCGAGAAATCGAACTTTTGGAAAGAGGGTTAAAATGGTAATTTGTTGTCATTCAGAGAACATTTACCAAACAACATTATTTCATTCAGTACTTAACCATTCTGGCCCTCTTAACCATTCTGACCACTTAACCATTCTGCACCAAACCATTCAGCAACCGCCAAACATCCCTCAAGTCCTTAGAACTTCAAGCCTCCTTCTCTACAAATACCCAGACTTTAAAAATTCTCCTTCACGGCTCACGCTTTTAACCCTTCTGCCTCTATCGAAGTACTGTTGGTTGCTGCATTGGAGACTTGTGTGTAACTGTGTGTGTATACTGATAAGATGCGCCTTGCATTCCTGAGGCCCGTGCCTCACGCCTGCTCCTCGTGCCTAGGCCCCCGTTGTGCCTAAGTGCGCCTTGAGCCTTTAACAACTTTGTTAGGTACTTTTGGCCTCCCTTTCTTTTCTCAACAACAAAAGCTCAAATTCATGGACACTTGCTTGTCAGAAAAATCTTGAGGCTACCTAAGAACAGCTTCCCCATTGTTGATATTCCTAGAAAAGGGCAAGTTTCTGGCGGTGACCATAATTTATCATAAAATCACCGCCAATCATCTTTTATAGGATAAATACATGATTATCTTTTCTAGGAAAAAGAAAAAGAATGTATGATATCCAACTGAGGATGGGCTAAGAGTATGATATCAAACTGAGGATGCCAATTATCAAACTGACCAGGGTTGTATTGACAAAAAATGTACAGATTAATCATGGGCTATGCTGAGAGTATGATATGACCATCACTCCGTAGTTAATTGGCATTTAGAACTGCTTTCTCTTAAAAGCAATAGGAAACAATGCAATGCGAATCAATAAAATGAGTGCCATTCCTAAATGTTTAGTTTTATGTTCGAGCATTATCATTTTGTTGGGTCAAATGGAGGTGTGGCAGAAGTTTTGCCATCCTTCTTTATTCACCTTTGGATGAGGCTTCCTGGGTCTTCGAATTTTTTTAGATGCCCTTTTTGTTTGGATATGTAGGCATAAGATGTTTGATGCATAATTCTAGAATCACATACTCAGAAAACTCATGAGAAACTTGTCTTCACCTCTTCACCAGGAATTATATAGACATAAAGATCAAAACTGAGTTTTTAACATAAACACAAAGTTCAGTGATGATAGAGAAAATTTAATTACAAGATTACATAATTATTGAAGTTATTGTAGAATAATCATCCGCAAGTAATTATGTATCATAACTACATAGATATTCACAAAACAAGGACTTCAAACATTTGAGTGTTCTTACCAGATTATAGACATTGTCTTTGTGGAGAAGATATATGAGTGTGGTCCCTGGTTGCAATTCTTTCCAGGTTGCTAGAGAGGACTATCAAATTGGTCAGGGATATCTGGAATAGTGCTCTCACTAAGAGATGAGTTTCATGGACTGCCCAGTCTTTTTTTCAATCATCGTGCATATTCTATCAGCGGAGGCTAGAACAAAGGAGATATCTGTCACTATGTGTACAGATCTGATTCTGATATTTTGCAATAATAGGTGATGAAACACATAATGTAATATTTGAACCACTTTTCTTTTTGCAGCATTGTGCAGGTGTGAACTGTTTGGCTATATTGAAGCCATCAAAACCTGGTTCAAGTTACCTCTTTACAGGGAGCCGTGATGGCACATTAAAGAGATGGGCATTGACTGAGGAAGATGCTACCTGCTCAGCTACCTTTGAGTCTCATCTTGACTGGGTATGGTTCTTCATTTCTGATTCTTTCTACTACCAGTCATTATCATCAATGGAAAATTTGGTCTTGTTTATCTTTAGATGTGGTCTTGGGTAATGCTGTAGTGGTGTCTTCTGAAAACTTAACTTTTGTATATAAGTAATATGTATAAGTAGTTGTGGGAAATAGTTATTTGACTTGTAGTCTGATGTATGTGTGCATGCATGCATTTTTTTTGGGCGGGGGTGTTGACAGACTTGCTGGGTACATGGACTACTGGCATCCATAATGAAGTCAAAATCAGATATCAACCATTATAAGAATGAATCTTGGATTCACAACACTTCTAGGGCTTCTGAATAGCAAGAGAACTGTAGAAATATAGAATTAATGCGGGAATGTGTTGGGGTGTACAGGTCAATGATGCAGTCCTCGTAGGAGGGAATACCCTTGTATCGTGCTCCTCAGATACTACCGTCAAGGTTTGTCTTCAGTGTAAGATTGAACCTTTTAATCCATGCATTAGTATTTATACAAAATTTGAACTAATATTATATCATGTTGTACCACTAGGCATGGGATTGCTTTTCTAATGGAACATGCACAAGAACTTTCCATCAACACACAGATTATGTCACTTGTCTTGCTGCAGCAGAAAGAAATGTAATTTTTCTGTCAATTATATGTTTTTGCTTCTACTTTAAAGTTGCTTGAATAGGTTATATGGATCTGCTAAGTGAAGACTCCACCAAAATTTCTTAGCATTTCCTTCAGGGGATATAAACATGATCAGCATAGGTTTTTCTGCCAGTAGTTTATTTTCTCTTTCTTCGCTTATCATTCTAGAGCAATGTTATTGCCTCTGGCGGCCTGGGTGGTGAGGTATTCATCTGGGATCTTGAAGCGGCACTTGCTCCCCTCACCAAGTCCAGTGAGGTAGCTGACGAGGATCGTTCAAGCGGCACTTATGGCTCAGGAAGTTCACTGTCAGTTACTAGCCTACGTACAATTGGCTCAAGCAATAGTTTTTCATTGCAAACAAATCTACCTCAAGGATATGTTCCTATTGCTGCTAAAGGACATAAAGAGTCTGTTTATGCATTAGCAATGAATGATACTGGGACTCTTCTGGTTTCTGGTGGAACTGAGAAGGTAAATTATTTTTTAGTTACTCTTTGTGAATTCTGAGTATTGATAAGAGTGCATTTTGCTACTATTCAGGGTTTTCATCTTTTTGTTCTCCACTTCAATTCCACCATGCTGTAGTCGTGTAGTGGGATTATGAATGGATGAACCTTTATTTGAAATATCTGCCACGGCCTTCACATTTTATAAGACTTGCTAGGGCCTTGGCTTAGTCAGGCAGAAATTCAGGCTTCTTTCTGTGTATTCCTACCTATTTACTATTTTGGGCTTTGCAATCACGGTGCAAGGAGTTTATCTCTCAGAATCTTTGATTTATTGTAGGCTGTACGTGTTTGGGACTCAAGAACTGGTTCAAAGATGATGAAGCTTCGAGGGCATACAGATAATATTAGGGCTTTGCTTCTCGACTCCACGGGAAGGTTTGTTGTTACTATCATTTGTTTGATTACTATGGGATAGTGAGGTGCCTTATTAAACTTAGATTTTAGTTTAATGTGAAACTACATACACGCCTATTTTTGCTTTTCTTACAATTTATTCACATCTCTTTGAGAATTGCTTTTGTTTCTAGAAATTGGATATATTTCTTGTATCAAAGCTACTGTCCAATACCACTGTGCATGCATGGTAAATTATGTCTAGTGTTCTTTGCAAAAATTAGATAGCTTAATTATTGACCTATATTCTTGTACCTTATTTTTTTAGCCTTGTAAGTGTAGAAGAAAGGGTATAGAAAGATAAATATTGTTGAGAAACAAAGAAAAAATTTATAGACTTAGATGGGTGGGCCAATTAGCTGAGATAGGAATTAAATGGAATTGATTACCGTATGGGGACCTACTCTTTACAAAGAAGTTTTAGGACTCGCTGTTGGTTCTGGATTAATTATAAATTCATAAAAGATTATGAAGAGCTAGAACGATAAAGTGCACTTGGAGCTTGTTGTGGTCTTTGTTGCTTTATGCAGTATATACTTTTCAACTTGTGTGTTTGGATAAATGATCAATAAGATTAAACTGTTTAATTATTGGATTTGTAATGGCTCTTCAATTTCATTGATGCAGATTCTGCTTATCAGGATCTTCTGATTCTATGATTAGGTAAGCATACTTGATATTTTTATCACCTTTTTTGGTTCAGTGTTGGTTTTTCTCTGAAATGGTTAGCTAGGCCACAAGCTAAGTGCTAGAGAACGAGATAATCTGGTTATACCTTGTCAAGACTACACTGAAATATCTTGTGGATTTTTTCTAAAAAGATCGAGGATGTAATGACTAATGTATGAGAAATTTAAACTGGCAATAATTCCATGACCAAGGGACTTCATGCTAACATAAAGTTTGTGTTCCTTTGGTGGTATTCTTTTATTTTCTGGGTGAACATGGAACTATATCTTTTCCTTTTTTTTTATAGATTATGGGATCTTGGGCAGCAGCGGTGTGTGCACTCATATGCTGTTCATACAGATTCCGTGTGGGCACTTGCTAGCACTCCAACATTCAGTCATGTGTATAGTGGTGGAAGAGATCTTTCGGTAAGCGCTTCTATGTTTCCATGGAAGAAAATGTTTCCTGGGTTTGTTTTTCAAGTCTTTGCGTTGAGTTTATCTAGCATTAATTTGTATGTTCTCTACTTCTAGTTGTACTTAACAGACCTTGCGACAAGAGAGAGTATATTGCTTTGCACAAAGGAGCATCCTATTCAGCAACTAGCAATGCATGATGATGGTATATGGGTTGCAACAACAGATTCTTCTGTGCATAGATGGCCTGCTGAAGGTCGAAATCCTCAGAAGGTGTTTCAAAGAGGCGGTTCCTTTCTGGCTGGGAACTTGTCATTTTCAAGGGCAAGGGCTTCCTTGGAAGGATCTACTCCTGTGAGTTGTCTTCTTTATGTTCCTCATTCAGTTTTCCTGCTTAGGTTGCATCGTTTCTAAAACAAATCCAATTCATTTTTTCATTATATAATTGTTTTCAAGGAGTCTTCTAGAATGACACCCTCATTTAATCAATACAAATGGCATGCCTATAATTCAAGTGGAAGTGTAGAACTAAGGTCTATTAGCTACTAAGTGGTGGGGTTAGGTAGTAACCCATGATTGAACTGCTGATGATGCCTTTTAATGTTCGTGTTGATCTTTGTCTGTCATCTAAATAACGTTATTGCAAGTCTTTGTGAATCTCCACTGTTTGTACTCACTTGCATGTTGTTTGTCTGTTCGGTACTTGACAAACTAACTGATCTTATCTGATGTGTAGGTTCCTGTTTATAGAGAACCAACTTGCAGTATTGGTGGAATTCCAGGGATAGTGCAGTACGAAATTCTGAACAATAGAAGACATGTCCTGACTAAGGTAACACTAAGGGGCTGTTTGGTTGGGGTTATTAAAAGGTATGAGTGGAAATGATAATCATTGGGTATGCTTTGTTCAAACAAAGGAATGAAAAATGGTATGAAAAATGATGTTTGGTTTCAGATAATTAATCAATCTATAATAGATCTGGGTAAAAATCATTCCTCTCCAATTTAGGGGGAATAGAAAGTTTTTCCCTAGCCTGTCTATCACCCCTCACACACATCATCGGCTCACCGCCCTCTCCTTTCCCCCTTTCTTCCTTTTCCATGGAAGCACCTCCATCGCCCGCTGCAGACAGATCTCCAAACATAAAGGTTCAGTTCCCAGTTCTCCACCAAGGAACAAGAAGGCCGCAGATCTCCAGACACAAATGTGCCTGGTTGCAGCTGACAATCTCCGCCAAGGAACAAGGAACAAGAAGACGAGTTCAGTAGCTTTTGCATCTGGTTGTCATAAGGAACAAGATGACGAGTTCACAGTTGCTTTGCACTGGGTTGTGGTGATCGGATGAGGAAAGTGGTTTCCATCACAAAAGTCGGTGGGTGTTGTGGTGGAGGAAAGTGGTGATTGTCTCTCTCTCTCTCTCTCGGGTGAACCCTAGACGACAGATCCTCCAAACATATACAAGGCCTCTATTTTTAATAGTAAACACCCCTGAGTTTTTCCTTTGACATTTTCGATTGTTTAATATTTAAGAGACACATTTCAGCTTCTCTGGTTGTTTGTTCATACCGGCTAACTTTATAAACTGATAATCTGAAATGTATCTTTGATAGGATAATGCTGCTTCTGTCAAGCTTTGGGAGATCACCAGAGGTGTTGTGATTGAGGACTATGGACAGGTTACTTAAATGCTCTTTTGTCTAGAAAGACGCATATCATTGGCAAGTATGCCATCATCTAAGCAGGAGGTTTGCATTTTTTTATTGTTACTCATTTTCCGAACTGTCGATTTCAGGTTTCATTTGAAAAGAAGAAGGAAGAGCTGTTTGAGATGGTATGTATCACTAGCTCACTACAGGAACTAATGTGTACCATTTTATGCTTCTTCTCGTTGACTTTACCATACTTCTTCAGGTGAGCATTCCGGCATGGTTCACTATAGATAGCAGGCTTGGGAACTTGTCTGTGCATTTGGATACCCCACAATGCTTTTCTGCAGAGATGTATTCTGTTGATCTTAACATCACTGAGAAAGCTGAGGATGACAAGGTTTGCATATTTCCTGTGTGTTTGGGTACCTTTGCTTTTATATATATATATATATATATATATACACCAAGGACTCTGTATTTTCCAGTGTTTCTGGTTACCTCTATATAGCCATCTCCGATCAACTTTATCACTCAACTCTAAATTTAGAGAAAAAAAGAACATATATCAGGAATCAATATTAATGTTCGAGGTTTTCTTTTGAGTTGGCTTTAACCTCTTTTAATTAGGTTGTAATCATGTGTACTTTCATTCCATTGTAAATTTTTAGTTTTGCTGTAGTTTAAGGTTCTAAATTTCTAATGTACTTTATTTTATAATCAATGTGGTATTTTACTTTCACCTTTAAGTTTGTGCACCCTTTATTTTATAGAGTAACTTATGGATTTGGTCCAGGGTTTAACGAAAATTATGACTAACGTCCCTAAACTCGAAAAATTATGGATTTGGTCCCTGTGGTTGTCATTTTATTATGACTAGGATCCCTGAAACTGAAGACGTTTATTTTTGTCCCATTAAATTCCTCACGTGCTTAGCGCACCAGGGTTATATAGGTCTTTTCACGTTCCCCCTCATTTAACCCATTTCCTTTTACCGTTGTGCTTCTTTCCACCATCTTCATCGATTATGAAGTTCATCCAAACACAAATCCATTCCCGACAAAACTTCAATCTATAAATTGAACACAAATTAACCAATACAAACTCATTCCAAAAATTTGTATTACAAAACCCTAAATCTAAATTAAAAACAAGAAAAAAAATCCTAATTGTAAATCAAGAATAAGAAAAAAAACTAAATCAAAATCAAAATCCTAAATCTATGATCATTCTATGTTTGAATTGGTCATGATAGAGACCTCCATTCGTTGCTTTTCTCCTTGGGATGCACAAGTAGAAGCACATGAGAGACGTCCATTATTTTTGTGTGTGTGTACAGTGATGGAGATACAGATCGAAGTAGATCCACAGCAGTGAGTAGAGAGAGAGATAGTAGCTTTAACCCGTAGATCAAGTAGAAGATGGGCGTGCAGATCGAGTATTAGATGAGAGATGCAGGAACGAAATTGGTTCAGTTGCAGAAATGAGTTCGAGGAAAAGAGGGAAGGAGGTTCATCTGAGGGGAAGGGGGTAGTGATGGAGGTGGAGGTGGAATTGGTGGTGGGGGTGGAGAGAGCAGATGGATGAGGTGACATCTCTGCAACCAGTGGTGTAGGGCAGCTGGTATGGAGACAGTGAAGGAGGAGATAGACATGCACATATGCATGTAATGTATATGCTATAACTAAGATATCACAATATATTATTTATTCTTTTCAATAAGAAGAAGACAACAAGGGAATTTTGGTATTTTTACCCCTGACTTAACTGGGATAATGAATTTTTTTACTCTGTTAATAAGAATGATGGTAGTCATAATAAAATGACAACCATTGGGACCAAATCCGTAATTTTTCGAGTTTAATGACGTTAGTCATAATTTTCTTTAAACCACAGGGACCAAATCCGTAATTTACTCTTTTTTATATATATACCTTTTAATTATTTAACAAAAGTTAATTAATTATAACACTTGAACCAAACAAACCAATATATCCCATTCGAATGTAGGGTTGGGGGATGTATGCAGACATATCCTCTTCCTCAAAAAATAGACCTGCTATTTCTGTTAAGACACCCGGTTTGTGCAAAATTACGAGCGAAATGGAAGGAAGAACTAGACTAGTAAATACTAAACAACACACAAAAACGAAAGCAGAAATAGGCACATTGAAACATATATAAAGTAAGGAAAATCACACATCCCTTCATCTAATAGGATTTTGCTACCTCATCGCTCTAGTCCCTACGCCTACCCCCTCCCTTCCTCATCCTGTTTTAATTCCCTTCCTCCCATCTACACTAGCTACAGGTCCCTGCACCTAAGTCTACTACCCTAATCTCGCATCTCCAAGAACTCCTACCAGAGGCCGTGTCCAAGGAAATGTCGAAGGCTGCCATGTTCATCCTCAACTGCTTATCTCACGTCCTCCTCAGCCTGCTCCTCCTCTCCCCCTCGATTGTCACACTTTCTACTACTCTCCGGTGCCGCCATCAGTTTCCTGCGAACATGTCCAGCATATAGTTTAAGGGAAGTGCTTGACTATCAGTTAAGCATATAAAATACCTCTTAACGATGACAAAATCAATTAATCTTGTGGACCAAAAAATCAATGGTCTCAACATTCCATGATGATCTTTAATGGGCAATGCCGTAATTTCTTATTGAAGTTTTGCCAGATAGTGAAATTGGTAAATTATTTGCTGAATACCAAGAAGGAAATTGCTGCATTTATTACGGATGGAGGGAGTATGTTACCCAATGATAGGGTACATTCATTGTTGCATTGCATCCCCGGTATACTGTGGAATATACATATGGGAAACTGCAGCACATCCTTAGTATGAGCTATCTATGCATTAGCATAGATCATTCTCCATCTATCCAAGATGATAATGTGCAAATTATTACTTGCTTATCCTTTCTTAATGTTTAGACATATCACATTCTAAGGTTCACCATGCAGTCCCCAGTGCTTACAGCGGCAGAGTAGAATACCTTGTCATCATTCTTTAGCAAGGGTAAGGTAGAACCTGAAGGAGTGTTACATGGATATAGATAAACGTTGGGTCTTTCATGTACTAGCTTAATCTTTTAAACAAGTTGGTAAACTTACATGGTAACATCCTTGTGGTTGAACCACCCTCTGGGCAATTTATTTTACCATCACAATTTGCATGCTGTCTGGTTTTTTGCATAGTGACAAATCTGTACATGATCTGAGGGTTAGTATTGATGCTACATGGAATTATTGGGCCTTTAGCTCCCGGCTTATGGTTTTAGATGAGTTGGTGGTTTAATGTTCTGGCTCAGTGAAGTTGCATAAAATTTGAGGGATGGACTTAGGTAAATTTAGGAGTTCGAGAATGAAATTCTTGAGTGATATTTTGTCATCTCAAAGCTGTAAGACACAATAATCTTACTTTCTTTAAGCCATGCCACTCAAGAGCATCGTGATCCTGAAGAAAGCATAAAATTTCTGAATGTGCATGACAACTGATTTGTTTATTTTAAATCAACCCCTGACTGCATCCCTGAAGAAGGTTTCTATTTCTGCAATATTATCTCTGGGCTTAGTTGAATTCATTTTTCATGTATAAAGATTTTTTGTTCTTACTCCGCGCCCCTACTCATCCTTATCTCGAAGGGTAATTACTCTATTACCATGAAATGAAATTTCTTTGTCAAAGGCTACTATTTTTCTTTTATATCTTCTCAAAATTTCATGTTTACCTTCTGTGATACCTTCCCATTTAATGTACCTGGGTGGTTTATTGAGAATATTGTTGATCCTCGTAGTTCCATTTTTGTATTCAGTAGAATAATTGCTATTTTCTGTTGACCAATATATTGAACAGGTTAATTTGGCACGAGAAACCCTCAAAGGACTGTTGGCTCATTGGCTGTCGAAGAAAAAGCATAAATTTGGGTCCCAATCTTTGGTGAATGGAGAAACTCCATCTGGCAGGGATATTTCTGCCAGGAGTATTACACTTCCAAAAGTTGAGGTAGATGGTAATGCTGAAAATGATTCTGCAGTGTATCCTCCATTTGAGTTCTCAAAGGCTTCCCCTCCTTCTATTATTACCGAGGGCTCCCATAATGGCCCGTGGAGGAAGAAAATTACCGAGATGAATGGAACTGAAGACGAGCAGGACTTCCCATGGTGGGTTTTAGATTGCATTTTGCATAACCGTTTGCCCCCAAGGGAACATACCAAGTAATTCTCTACTTCCACTTCGCTTGTTCTTTTTCTCTTTCTTCCAGATGTGTGTGTGTGTATATATATATACATCATGTTCATGTGGCAGGGGGGGGGGGGAGTTATTCAGTGCAGTCCATGATTTAGTAATCTGAAGTCTTAAAAAAATTGGACTTCTTTTCACTATCTTCCATCATGAGTTGCATACAAACCCACAATGAATGGCATTCATAAAACTTATATAAATGGGTGGTTTGTCAAAAATGGTTTATGAATGCTAATGCTAAAGAGATTCAATTTCTTTCTGTTCTTGTTTGAGTCAACTTATCCAAACCTTCTTACTTGCCTTTTATTTAAAAAAAACCACCAGTCTCAAAGAAATGCAAAACAAACACTATACTTTGCAAGGATGGACAGTTTTGAGAAGAAAAGCCAGATACCATGGGTATTTTTGTGTTGACATTTCCACATTTAATCTAAAATCTCATGTTTATGAAGTGCAGTGTTTTTCTGTGTTTTCACAAGAAAGATGATTGGGAATGTAAATGACTTATTTCTGTTTCAGTTTCTTACTAAAGTAGCATGCTCTTTAAATTTTCTTAATTCTCAGGTGCAGCTTCTTTTTACATCCATATGAAGGTTCAACTACCCAGACTGTGACACAAGGGAAGCTGAGTGCCCCTCGTATTTTAAGAATACACAAGGTACATTTTGATTAATCTGCCATACTATGATGATTCATAACGTCCTTGTAAGCTACTCATTCTGAATTCTCAGACGTTGGTTAATGCTGTCAGACTCTTTCTGACTGAAGGTTGCTGTAAGCTCTACATAGGCCTCATCATACATCCTCACACTGTAGACAAAATTACATAACAGAAATCCGAAGTTAAAGCAAAAATGCACAGCAATGATATGCAAATAAAATCTCTCTTCTAAACATTTTTTTGTTAGGTTGTCAATTATGTTGTGGAGAAGTTGGTCCTCGACAAACCTTTGGATAGCATGGCTATTGATGGAACTTTTGCTTCTGGGCAATCTGGAGGGCAGTTGCAGCATTCGAGTACTGGAGATGGATCCTTCAGATCTGGATCGAATTCTTGGCAAAAGCTTAAGCCCTCTATAGAAATCTTATGCAATAATCAGGCAAGCTGATTTTCTTTTTGATGGTGAAATTGTTTTTGGTAGCATTTACATGCTTAATTGTAGTGCTTGTCATTGTGCACGGACAAATGGTGAGCTATTTATGCATACATATGTTATATATTTTCATTGTAGTAAATAATCCCTGCTAAATGAGCCTTTAAACCCATTTCACAGTAATGCCTATTGATGCATAGCAAAAAGAAGGATTTCATGATGCAGAACCTATATTCCAAAGCGTGGGAGCATGTTGACAAAATCTAAATCTACCAATACAACCTTAAACAAGGACAAAAGCCTAATCCTAAACCCTAATAGACATCAATAAGAAGAACAATCCCAACTGTAAAGCAAACTATGATTCTAAACAAATCACCCAAAACAGACTCAGAAAAAAACCAAGTAAAACCTTATTAATTATGAACTCGTTGTTTGGATATGTCCTAAATCATTCTTCAATTATTTACTATTTAGTCATATTTCTTTCGTTCTTTTTGAATTTTCTTCTTGTCATTGGCCTAAACTATAGTACAATTAGTTATTCATATTTCCTTTATTCTTTTTAAGTTTCCTTCTCACCATAGTCTTCTAAGGACTGTTTGGAGGAAAATTGATCACGTGCATGCTATCGTTATTGGTAACTCAATCGGGAACCTTTATCTTTTCTGATATTAAATCCCTAGTCTGCTATTATCCAGGTCTTGACACCTGACATGAGCTTAGCGACTGTCCGTGCTTATATATGGAAAAAGCCTGAGGACCTTGTTCTCAACTACCGGATCATCCCTGGAAGATGAATTGATGCATCCATGTGGTAAGATTTCTACTTAGGTTTCATGTTATTCTATTATTGCACATTCCGGTTGATAATCACTGCATTTAATAGTAAATCCTTTCTCCAGAGCTAGAATCGCCATATCCAGAGCATGGTACAACTTTCAATGCATAAAGTTCGAGCACGGTTGAATGAGTTCTCTGAATTCTGTCATTCCTGCTCTGGAAAAAGGGTTTCCTGCTTTTGATATTTCAGTATGAATTGATAATGGGCTTCTACGAGTCTGGGTAACCGATCCAGAATGGCAAATTTTGGACCCTTGTGTGTTTATTTTTATTTTTTATTTTGAGCAGTGCTATCATCATGTTCTTCTGTAGGTCAGAGCGTATCCAATTCTGATTGATTTTGGGCTGCTAAGATGCTTGGAGGTGATAATCTCATTAAAAGTGCTTCTCGTATTCCATTGCATCCACTTAGTTCTGGAACACTAATTAGTTTTCTGAATGATGAAGCACTTCCTGATGCACCAAGAACCGTGGATGATCAGTTGAAGGGTTGCTATTTTGAAATTCTGGGCCCAGAGCTATCGACTTGAAAGAAATAGCAGTTGAATATGGAAGATGATGTGGAGAGGCTTTGTGGGTCTGGTCAAGAATCTATCGGAAAAGCAGAATGTTTAGTAGTATCGAGGAAACCAAGTACTGTACTTGCAAATAATACCATTGTCACCCATGCCAACAAGTAAGTTTGTGTTTTGTACATCAGCTTGATGCCTTATTTTTCTCTGTTCTTTTCGTGTTCATGGCCTTACCTAAATTCCTGTTTGGGTGTAAAACTAGTATGGTATGTGACATTAATTTGAAGCCTTGTAGGGATATATATATATATTTATATATATATACACACACATTTGAATTAGTTACAAGATTGAGAGCTGTTATATCTTCTATTATCTTAGGGGCCGTTTGCCAAACACTTAACGGGTAAGCCCTTACCGGTAAAATTCAATACTATTATGTACTTACCGGGTAAGATTCTAGTCCACCAAAACAGCATTGTATGCAACAATTTACCTGGTAAGCGCTAACCATGGTAATAGTCGTGGCCCTCACTTACCGGGTAAGACTCTTGGTACTTACCTTCGCTCTTACCGGGTAAGATTCTTGGTTCTTGCCATATTTATCCGGTAAGGTAATGTGACTTGTAAGTGCTTACCCAGGTAAGTGTTTGGTAAACTTTACCTTAGTGTTGTTTTTCTTGGCAACATTTACATATGGGTAAATTCCATCTGTAAGTTGCAACTTGCATGAAATTTGACATATTTGAGCCAAAATTGGCTTGGGCTTAATAGCTTCGTGAGCCTAAATGCTGATGTTATTTGAATCCTCCAAAATGGGGCTTGGGCTTTTGGCCCACTGGAGCTCATAGTTGGACCAAAAGAATAATATGCCTGAAGCCTGGGATGTTGGCATCAACTCTTATGGACATGCATCAGGAATTTTTCTTAATTCATCCTTCTAATAAGACAACTATGCATGGTTCTTTTTGATATATATATATGTAGGGTATATTTCTTTTACAACCTTGTGTATTTGTACAACCMTTGCAACCCAATTAATTGAGATATTTATAGAAATGATGGGAGTTCATTTATTATGATTTGAATATTTATGGAATATGAATAGAGTTCATTAATTATGATTAATACTTTATATTAGGAAACAATCAAAACTTCTATGAAATCACATATTCATCAAATGAAATGGACGGTTGAGATTGGGTTGTATTGGTTGCACAAATGTCAAGGGTTGTATAATAACCAACCTCTATATATGTATATATAATATGCTTACAACACACATGATTCATTAAAGCAAAACACAAAGGGTTTTTACCTTTGCCTATTTATTTAGCACATCACACTCACACTCACACAACCCCAAAAGCCATAGGAGTTCAGTTGTTATTAGCAGTTAACACTACAAACCAAGTCCTTGTGTTTTGGCTGTTTCAACTGTTCCCTTTTTCATCATCATCACAAACTCTTCGTAGTTGATCTTTCCGTCCTGCATGCCATCCACCAAAATACAATCCTATGATATATAAATATATGGAAGAAATGTTTTGGTGTTAATAATAGCATAACGTTTGAATTGCTAACCTTATCTGTATCTACATCGTCAAGGACTTCATCAATGGTTGCTTCGTCTCCCATCCCGTATTGAGTCATAGAATGTTTGAGCTCGTCTCTAGTGATAAACCCACTGTCATCCTTGTCGAAGAACTGGAAGGCTTTGTACATATTCTCTTCCCTATCTAGTTTGTGTCGATGCATGGTAGCAGTCACAAACTCTATGTAGTCTATTGTTCCATTCTTATCAACATCAGCCTAATTGTTTTCACTTTTTATCATCAGTATATATAGTATATAATAGAATACAAATGAAAATGTAAGAATGTTGGTTGCTTACAGCTTCCATGAGTTGTTGTATCTCTGACTCAGCCAGTCTTGATCCAAGCTTTGTTAGCCCAGTCTTAAGTTCTTCATATGTTATGGAACCACTTCCATCTGTGTCCATGTTGTTGAACATCTGTTTCAATCCTTTTATCTCTTCTGTTGATTCTAAGCTCTCTGCAATAACCTATCAAAACAACCAATAATACGAGTTAATTGTTAAATTTAAAAGGTTGAACTTACAAGTGTGCATATATACCTTTAATGCTAGCTTCTTCAACTTATTCATTGCTCTAAATTGCTTCATTCGAATCAATACAGCACTATCCATAGGCTGTTCAGATGCTTCACCATCTTCTTTGAGCCACGGGTGTTCTGAGATATGTCTATTTGGTTCAGCATTGCTTCCAATTGGGTTTATGGCCAAATGATTGAATAAGAAAATACTAACCGAGGGCTTTGTCGGCAGTGATACGGTTCTTAGGATTTTTGGCCAACATCCTTGAGATTAGATCTTTGGCACCAGCAGATATAGAAGGCCATGGAGGGCTTTGAAGGTCTAGATGACCATTTAATATTTCTTCAAATATGCCCTTTTCAGTCTCTGAACCAGTCAGCAATCATATTAGTTAGTTTTTCTAATCTTTACATATTTATTTTAAATGGAAAAAGAAAAAAAGGAGAGATTAGACCTGCCCAGAAAGGAGGGACACCACTTAGAAGAATGTACAAAATGATACCGGCACTCCACACGTCTATCTCCTTCCCGTAACGTCGTCGTAACACCTCCGGTGCCACGTAATAGGCGCTTCCAACTATTTCCTTGTATATTTTCCCTGTATTAAAATCACTCCATGCTTTCATACATGATTTCACATAAGCATTTCTTTCATAAATGGGTTATGGTTATGTTAAGTGTATTATTTTGATTTTCATTATCAATTCAAAAATCTTAAATATAAATGATCTAAATATATATATATATATATATATATATATTATCGACATGAAATGAATTTATGGTTATACGGATATGGCAACATAGTGTGAATGGTGCGTACAAATGGAGGGGGCCATCGGCATGTTTAGGGTCCATAGTTCACATTTACATGATGACGTGTAATGGTGAATGGACAAAAAAGTCGTGCATCTGGTCTACCTGTCATTATCTCACTTGACTTGTTGACCCAACGTGGATTACACGTATTCCCTTCCCTTGTCATTTCATCATCACTCACATGTCTACTCCAACTATAATATATCCTATTTTTATCTTACAATATTTTGAATTTATTTATAATTATTTATTTCATTAATATTTTGTGCTGATTATCAATTAACAACAAATATATTTTGACACAAACGATTACATTGTTTACATTGAAAGAAAGTCATATTAATTTGGAAATTGGTTAAAGCACTTGTGATTTAATCAGCTTCCGATTTTAAAATGGGATTTCTCTCTTTTGGGCAACATAAAATATGTGCTCACATGTAAACATATCTCAACCACGATTGACGTGAACCAAACGAAAAGTACCAAAATATATGCTTTTGCAACTTTTCTAAGCTAAAAAGTTGCATAAAAAACTAACTAGTTTGGTTAATAAAAACGTTTGTTATCGTTATGTCCTGATGACGTCGACCATCTCGACTTTTCTAGATAACTAACGGTTTACGTAGAACATCATAACTAGAAGAAATTCAACGAAATGAACCAAACAAGCTCAACATATCTCACTTGAAGGTAAGAAATTCAACGAAATGAACCAAACAAGCTCAACATATCTCACTTGAAGGTGGTTCAAAAGAGGAATCGAGGAATGAATCAGCAAAACTAACCTTCTTCAATGAAGACAGAAAGCCCAAAATCAGTAGCCTTCAAAGGCGACTCGTCTTCTTGACTAACCATCAAGAAATTCTCAGGCTTCAAATCTCTATGCATAACTCCCATGAAATGGCAAACATGCACCACGTTCACAATCTGCCTTCCAATCTTTGCAGCTTCTTTCTCAGAATAACTCCCCTTTTTCGTTATCCTGTCGAAAAGCTCGCCACCGCTACACAACTCCATCACCAAATGCACGCTCGACTCATCCTCATACGCGCCTCTAAACTCCACAATATTCGGCTGTCCGGTTAGATGTTGAAGCATCATGATCTCCCTTCTTACATCATCCATATCCTTCTTGGTTACAAGCTTCTTCTTCGATATCGATTTGCATGCAAGCTTCAATCCCGTGGCTTTTTCAGTGCAACGATACGTGACACCAAACTGACCTCTCCCTAATTCTTTCCCAATATAGTAAATTTGCTTCAAGTCAACATACTGCTTTCCTAAAATGGACCCTTCTTCATGGTTATTTATGGTTTTGCGTGGGTCGAATTTGCTGGGGATTGGATAGTATGTTCTCTCTTGAGGAGGGATGAAACGGTCATTAGGAAGATGATGAGGAGGTGATGGGGATGAAATGGGAATTTCATGGCTTCGACGAGGCTTTATCAAAGACCAACAGATACCCATTTGAGATTGAGATGAGATCTGAAATGGGTTGGTGTTGGATTCGGATTTGGGGTTTTGTAACGATTTTCAGATGAATATCGAAGGTGCCTTGCTTTAAGTAGTTTTTTTGTCTTTCACTTTTGATTCTTTTTGCTGGTACACGCCTAGCTTTGTTGGTTTCTTGATTCCAACTTGCTTTGGGTTGTTAATAGCCTTTTTCATACATTTGGGGACCGTACGGTGTACGCCAAGGCTTAGGGTTGTGTGTTTTGTGATCGTAGACCCAGAAACAGACATTATATAACGACTATAATATTGTATATTACAAAAACAACAAAATATTCATGATTAAATAATATGGATTGTCACAATCATCTTGATTTCTTCATATATATATATATATATATATATCCTTTAATTCATAATTAGTAGCTTTAACCGGAAATTTCCTCATTTTGAATGATTAATGTTTTGAACTTTTTTCGAATCAAGATTACGTTGAAGGGTTAAGTTCATGAAGATTTTTCTTTTGAATAAATAAATCATTGAGTTTTTAAAAATTAGTTGTCAACATTCTTTAACCCAAAAAAGCTACATGTAATCAACTAATTTTTTATTTATCAGTTTTACCGTTTTCAAATTCTACACCGTTTAAACCCCTCGCACCCAACGACATCATATCTCTCCCCTGCCATCACTTGTCTCCCCATTGTAGTCTATTCTACATATTGTTCATCACCGTCGTTGGCCTTTGTGATATACCTCTCTCTTTTTTATATGTGTTTTAATCTTTCGATTTCTCCCTTTTTATAACAATTTAACGAAGCACATATAGACAGATAAAAAAAATAGGGAAAATAGAAAAAAGAAAATGAACTGATCAAAAAGAGCGAAATCGATGGCAAGGGCTAATGTCGGTGATGGGCAAAGATAGAGAGCGGATGACGATGAGGGCGGTGAGGGGGAGCAATAATGTTGGGTGCGACGGGAAAAATAATACATAATTTAGGAATTGTAAAACTAATTTTAGTTTTTTTTACTTGTTTATAGATTTTTCAAGTTGACAAATTGTAGATAACTAATTTTTAAAAGTTTCATTATTTATTTATTAAAAGAAATTCAAAAACTTAGTCATCAGAAATAGAAAAATAAATAATTTTATTGGTTTAAAATAAAAAGGTTGAAAGAGGTTTTATAGACTTTTCCATAAAAGATTAATTAATAAAGAACGAAAAAAGTTGAGTCCCTTGATATCCTAAAAAGAAGTAGCAAGTTAACAGTCAACTCTACCAATTCAAATATCCTTATCGAACTTCTCTTTTGGGTGGATTAAAATTGATCAAAGCCCACAACATAGATTTGGGCTTCGTTATGGACATTGGGTTTTTTCCTATTTGACTTATCCATTCTCTTCGGGGGGTTTAATTCTCTATTGTTTTCGGATATTCTTTTACTGTAAAAAACGGTTGAAATTTTGTCATTGACGGTAACAGGGAAATTTACGTATAAGGTTCAAGATTTTAATTCTCTATTGTTTTCGGATATTCTTTTACTAAAATTCGACAATTTAGATAGTTGTATGACGTCCAACATCATTGCAGTAGTGTGGACAAATTTTGTCTTAAGATACTGCAAGTTCACCGACATGTTAGTAATTCTATTTGTTGGAATTTATTGTAGTTGTTATTGTTTCAGTTTTGTTAATACAATATTGAGTATAGTACGGAACAGATTCATCCTAAAAACTCTCTGGTCGATATTATTCCCTGTTCTCACAACTACTGCTCCTTGCTACCTTGACGCTTCATCGCTTTTTTGTTTCCCAAGTTACGGGTTTTCTTTTTTGTTTCTTTTCGTCAACATATTGCTTTTGTTTTCTCCAACCTTCGAGTAACAATCATGACTTTGAGGATTATTTTTGACACTTAAACTTTTGTTCTAATTCCTAATGTGGTTCATAATTTGATTTCTTTGTGTTTGAGCTTCAATTTGATTTTGGTTTTTTCCCCTTGAAAATCGAAGCAGCAACTATGGAATCAGGTTAGCACAAAGAGGCGTCAATTGCATCAACTAGGTCAAATATCAGAAAATTCAAGCCCAATTCTTGATTCGTTCTTCCAAACCTTTTAAACGTAAATCATTAATGTCTTGTATATATGTTTTTATGTAATCTATTGGACGAAAGAACTTTTTTGTACACAAGAATTATTTTCCCATATCTCAAATTTTAATTATAGAGGTGAAGCTCAAGTTTTTGTTTGGATTTGAATCAATTATGCTTTGATTCTGGTTATCTGGACTGAAATCAGGAATATTGCTCACATTTTTTAGGCGTCGATATGTTGGATTTAGTTGTCAAATCTTTACAAAATATATCAATAAATTATATTTAGTACTATCTAAACTTGATACCAACTTTATTTGGTTGAGACTGTTGGTACGGGTTTGTACCAAAAGTTACAAATACTGAAGTTACAAATTTATTAAAGTTGACATCTTTACCAACTAAATCTAGATATACTAAAATCATTAAACATTCAAATAACATCTTGATATGTGTTGTACCATGTACCTCTACTTATACAAACAATTAAATAATCTTCATATAATACAATTTAAGCGAGCATTGAAGGTGTGGACAAGTTATCAGTGTTGTTTGAGTTAGGCGAAAGAATTCAATCGAGTTCAATATATCCACCCATATTATAATTTAACAAAATCTAAAATTAAATAATTTAAAAATTAAATTTAAGATGTGTTGTATTATTGATTAAATTTTAATTAATAGATAATTAAAAGAAATCGGTATGGTATTATCATGATACACAACTTTAAATATTAAGTATCAACCAAATTTAAATTATATATATATATATATATATATATATATATATATATATTAAAGAAGAAATCACATGCAATGATGTGGCCTCTTCTCAAAACAAGAAAATGATTTATCTTTATTCTCCTTTTCTCAAGCTTCTCCTACTTTAATATTTGTTTTTTATGTTTCATATTCACATTTAAGATCATTTAATTAGGTTGTTTCAACCTATTCATGTTCCCTCTAATAAGTACTCTTTTAACTCTCATTATTTCTTTTATGTTTCATATTCACATTTAAGATCATTTGATTAGGTTGTTTCAACCTATTCATGTTCTATCTAATAAGTATTCTTTTAACTCTCATTATTTCTCTCTATTCGGTTATAATTTTCCATCTTCTCTTCATGTACACCTCTATAATAATCTCTCAATTCTTCATCTATATTCATGTATAACAGACATTGGTCTCCTAAACCCAACATATAACTTCTCTATTAATCTTTTAATTCTTTCTCTCTATTCATGTATAATTTTGTAGTACACCTCTATGATAATCTCTCTATTAATCTCTCAATTCTTCCTCTCTATTCAGTTATAAATTTGTGGATGCGATTTGCATTTTTGTTGATTTGAGGCGTTATTCAATAAGACAAATCATAGTATAGATTTTTGCTAATGTAAGTATAATATTTCTTTTTTTAGTCTGAGATATTCACATTAAAGTTGGAATTATGTAGACATATGGAGTTTTTGTGGGATAAAGTGACATATGAATCCTCAAAGAAATAGTGTAACATTGAATAGGAAAAAAAAACTCTCTCAATTCTTCCTCTCTATTCAGTTTTTGAGGTGATTTGCACTTTTATTTATTTGAGGCGTCATTCAATAAGAGAAATATAATATGGGTTTTTGTTAATGTAGGTATAGTATTTTCGTCTTTTAATTGGAGATATTCGCACTAAAATTGGAATTATACAAACATATGAATCTCTCAATTCTTTTGCTCTATTCAGTTATAATTTTGTGGGGGTGATTTGCATTTTTGTTGATTTGATGCGTCATTCAATAAGACTAATCATAGTACGAGTTTTTGCTTTTGTAAGTATAGTATTTCGTCTTTTAGTCGGAGAATTCACACTAAAGTTGGAATTATGTAGGCATATGATTTTTTTTTTGTGTGAATGAAGTGATATATGAATCTTTGATGAAATAAGGTAACAATGTTTAGCATAATAATCTCTTTTAATCTCCCAATTCTTCTTCTTTATTCAGTTTTTGTGGATGTGTTTTTTTTTGTTGATTTGAGGAGTCATTCATGAAAACAAATATGATATGAGTTTTTGTTTTTGTTGATGTTAATTGGTCTATTGTGATTTTTTTTCTTTTTTTAGCATTGAGTTTGGAAATTATTTTCTAATATTTTTAATTCTTAAAGAAGAAACTAAACTAACATAATGAGGTGTTATCCTCTAAACATTAGAAACCAATTTTTTTCTTAGATTTTTGATTTTTTAAAATATTTGATATATGTAAAAGACTTTCCATTCCTATATTGAAAATATGAAATTCAATATAATACATATCTTTTATTTTACATAATTTTATTAAAACCTCTATTTTCAGGATTTTTTTATAAATAAACCAAACTATGAACTGTCTAAAACAAATCTAAAAAGCTTGAACAAGTCAATGAAAAAAATAACAAATCAGTCAGACTCTTATATATCTATAATGATCATAATATTAGCTATTATTTTCATTTTATGCAATCGCATATAGGAAAAAAGTGGTTTCAATGAGGTTTCTTGACCAATGTTACAAATGAGTATATCATGAACTAATATAAGCAAATTACAAAAATATTCAACAATTATATCAATTTAAATAACAACACAATTATTGCTTGGTGAATATAAATATTTTATGAGAATATATGTAGAAGATAAATTGATATGTATTATGGTAAAATAATTCTCTTAATACACCTCATGATTATAATCAATATTTTCATATATTTCTTTTTTATGATTTTGAACCAATCACAAAGTTTGATATAATAAAAAATTGATATATAAGACTTAATAATTATATATATATATATATATATAATATTAAAAGAACAACCAATAATGATAAGTTAGATTCATTTATCAAAGATAATGTCGATTCTTATTAGTTTAATATTTAAATGTGATCATCGACTCATTTAGCTAATTTCAATAAATTTTTAAAAAATTTATCGTCATTGTACAACGCGCGATGTCAAACACTAGTT